AATATCTTGAATACAGAAAGAGTTAAAATAATATTACTTACCCATTGATCTCCACTAAGCTTCAGTGATGTCTAACACTTAATTGAGCAGCTATTCCAAAGCTCAAAGCACTGAGAAGAAATTATAAATCTCTTATCATACTTGCTAACTGAAGCAAAAAAATCACAGGCTTCAGACTCAAATTGTCTCCAGTATGATTCAGGGGGGTTTCCCTGAAACTTATGGCAATTACCTGTAAATAACAATTAGTAATGTCCCCTTGTCTCCCTTTTCAAGAAGAAAAGAGGATGGTTGCATTTATTTTTCCCATTTCTCTGCGCTTTGAATTTCTTCAAGGCCAGGATTGCATTACAGTTACTACATCCTCCATTGGGATGCAGTCTGACACATAGCACAATATTCCACAGATGGACGGAATAAACAGATGGATGATGGGATTATTAATGCTCATGAGAGGAAGAATTAATTCTTATGACTGGTACATTTAAAGGAAGATCCCCAAGAAGATGAGAGTTGAGCTTGACACCAAAGGACATATGGGGTTTAAAAAGGAAGTGGTTCCAGCCATGTAAAGAATTTCTGCAGCCTCCATGTACCTTCCAAGGGGTCACAAGAACATACTTCTGTATGTCAACCACCATATAGACAGTATGTATTGATAAGTATTTTTCCAAGAATTTTCCTGAATGCCCCACATCTTCTTCCCAGGGCTTCTGATTATCAAGTCTAGCAAGCAGAAGTATTTTAAATTTCAGATCATCTGCCTGTAATGTCAGAATTAAAAATAGTTGGAATTTAATTACATAAAACATATCTCCTTCTCCTCTCTCTTTGCCATCTCCCCTACTTAAAGTCTATTTGAACAGGAGGGAAACAAAGAATCACGAGGAGAGACTGTTTCATGGGTTTTTGTGCCCTCTGGTGGTGATTCTAGGGAGATGCATAAATGCCGTATGCGTTCAAATCTAACAGTATAGAAAGAACGGTGCTCGGGGCTCAGAGGTTATGTTCTCCCATCTGAAATAACAGTCACATAATATAAGGAGTAATTGTGTGGAACTCAGAACAGGTCAACTAACCCACGTTTTCACAGTCCTTCATCTTTTAGAGGCAACATGGCCTCATGCTAGTTATTAAAAGGGAATATTGTCCCATACAAATGGAATTGTTTCCATTACAGCGTTCAATATAAGCTAAAACTGTTTTATTATCGCTACATTTTCCATGAAAGTTCAAATATGATGTCTTTAAGCCCATTAAGCAATGGGATAGCCAACATTCAAAGAAATGTGGTGGATTTTTGTATGGCATTTGTAAAGAATGCTAAAATTAAGTAAGTAAACAATTCTATTTTCTCTGAAAATTGTTTCTATTTACAGTAAGCTTTAGATAAATTTATAAGATTTTGTTTTCTTCCCTTGCACATGTTGGAAAAGTACTCCAGCACTAAGCTGGACACCATACCTTAAGCTTATTTTAGTCATTTATTCACTGGGCACTTCCTATATGAATACATTTAGATTATATCCACCTTAACTCTCTACAACCACATCAGCCCTCTCCAACCTTTCTTTCTTGTCCCCCTTTTCCTGTTTCTCCCCCTCCTTTCTTCCTTGTTCTCTTCCTCCTCCTTTGATTTCTGTTCTCTTTATAAGCCACTGAGTCCATTTAGGATTGCTCATGTGCACCTTGGCATAGGGCCTTCCACTGGAACATGGGTCACTTAGAAGTGGCCATACCAGCCTTTCATTGCCAACAGCTATATGCCACCAGCAAGTATGTGGGTGTTGGGAACTTTCTCCTACCTCATCTTCGCTGGACTAGGGACTAGACTGACCTGGTTCAGATCAGGCTCAGACACAGAGTCTCTGCTTTCCTGAGTGCAGTGGTCCTGCTGTGGTCAGAAGACAGTATCCATAGCAACCCTCCCTCGCCTACCTCTGGCTCTCTGGCAAAAGGCAACTGAGGAATGGAGGACCAGTCAGAACCAGGAGGGGCTGGACAGCATCTCCCTCGAGTACTGGTAGAGAGAGGTTATAGACAGAAAAAGTAAGAAGCAGAAAAGTTCCCCTCACCAGACATCTGCCTCATGAAAGCGTAGTGGGAGTATCTCTGAGGATTGGCAGGTTGCGATTAGTTGAAACTAGTCTGCTCTGATTGGCTGAGAGATGGAAATGTGTTAAGGTGCATTCTGCCTGATAGGCTTTCCTTTGTGTTCTAAGCTGCAATTTGGGGCATAGATTCAAGACCACAGAAACTGACTTGAAGCTGATATCCACCTAATACTGGGTTGTTTCTGCTACTTCAAGGTAATAAACCAGACCTTCATCAGGTTAAAAGGTAAAGAAAGGTTTTATTCTTCATTGATGGAATTGCTATTTTAAAAATAACTACATGAACAATGGCATCAAAGGACATGATAGTGTGAATGGGGGAAATTTCACAGCATCACACCCATAGACAAAAAAAAAAACTACAAGCAACTAATAACTTCTGAAGAAAGGAATATTAATCTACCCCTGGTATGAGCCCCCTTGTTGGTTATATAATGTGGAATGGTCAGCTTTGAAGTCCTATATTCACAAGCAACAAAACTGGATTCAGCAGGTTGTATGTGTGAATGTGTGTGTCCATGTGTGTCTGTGTGTATATTTGTATGTGTGTACATACAGATACATGTGTACATTTGTATGTGTGTAACAATAATGAAAAAGACAAAGAGGTTGTCAAGTAGATAAGAGGGGCAGTTGGAAGATGTGTGAGGGCAGATGGAAGGGGCTGAAGTGAGAAGAGAGAAGGGAGGAAACGGTGTAATTCTATTACAGTCAAATAATATTTTTTTCGAAAGGATGAAAGTCAAAAATACATGGAGGTTGTATGAGTCCTTTGAGAATTCCATACAATGTGTTTCTTATCAAAATCACCTCTTTCCCTACTCTCCCCCCAGATCCATCATCTCTTCCTTATCTACCACCTGATTTGTGTCCTCCATTATTTAAACCCATACAATACAGTTTCAACTTCCCATATACTCTTGGATATAGGGCCTTCACTGCAGCTTTGTCTACCTACCAGAGACCACACCCTTAAAGAAGATTAACTTCCCTTTCCTAGAAACAATCAGTTGCCATCAGCTCGCCTGCCAGAATGTTGTTTCCCTTGAGCTTGCATAGATTGTGTGTCTACTATCTCCAATGTGTGGATTCCTATGCATAACTCCACCCGTCTCCTTGTAGTCTTGCAGTCTTTCTACCCCCTCTTCCACAGTGAGTGCTGAACTGTGGAAGTAAAGCCTATGTTGTAGATAGCCCTTAAGGGGCTGACCCTTCCATTGTTGTTTATTGCTTATACCTTTTCCAAGTCTGGGACTCAGTATTCATCCTCTTCTGCTGGAAAATAAAATGTAGCTTCTCCAATGATTACTGACAGATATTGGACCTTCAAATGAACTATAAAAACAAGACAAACGTCAGGGGAGGAGGGTATAGTTCTGGGATGCAGTGCAGCTCTGTGTGCCATTCCTGGTCCTGGGGGGAAAGGGGAAGAACAAAGAAAAGGAAGATAGAAAAACTTATTCAAAGCAACTAGCCATAAAAAGATAAGACTAGTAGGCAAATAAAATCTCCTCTCCTAGTGACACTGTTATGAGCAGATGGAATAAACGGGCATTATACAGGAGTCAAACTAATAAAGAAAATGATAAAGATGAGATTTTTGGTACCTTTAAGGGACCTAATGGCTGTGCACACTTTAAGATCTTCCACACAATGAGTCATCTATAAACAACACAGGCAAAAACCTTTCAAGCTGCCCAGAGCACAAAACACAAAGCGTATTCAATGCTTGTCGCTTTGCAAACACCAAACATCTACACATTCATCATACCTAAGACATGCTGTGCATTCTTGCATTAAAAAGAGGAGTTTGGCTAATGGCGTAAATAGTTTTAATGAGTTTTCAGATCATACATATGCTGTCATGGGCAGAATAAGAATACATTTAATTGTTAATAAAAAAGTAGAGTTTCTAGTTCTTGTTTGAAACGTTTGCATGATGTTTCTACGCAGTGTTTTGATTGTGGTTCTTTTCATTTTTTTCTGTAAAATATGTCATCTTTATCTTGTGGAAATTGACAATAAGTAAAACTATAAAAACCTTTCATTTCTGCAAAGACTATATGCAATTCTGCCTATAGCCTAATTTCTGATCCAGATAGAGTTATTTATTTCTTTGTGTCATGGTGACCTCTATTTTAAGGAAAAGATCAGAAAATATTTTTCCTTTTCTGTCTCCAACTTATTTAGCAATGAGTCATCCATTTATAGCATGGAAGTTTAATGAGGATTCAGAAAACTAAAAATGCCATCTTTAAAAAGAATTTCCCCTCTGTAATCATTTTTATTAATTTGTATTAAAGATTTTATATATGCATAGGCTGTGTTTTAATAAAATACACTTCCACAGCCCTACATACACACCACTTTTCTCTCCCAAATCCATGCACTCTTATTTCTCAAACCTTCTTTGTCCCTTTTGTGCTCTCTGTATGTACATGGGTGTAAGGCCATCTGCTAGAGGATGGGTAGCCTCTCAAGGATGCATCCATGAAGAAATCTGACTCTCACTCCTGGAGGATCTATCAGTCACCGAAGGCTCTTCAGGAAACTGAGGCTTTCTGAGCCACCTCCCGTCTGTGCCTGGATTCATTCCCACTTGAGCTTGCAATGGTCTGTGTATGCCATTCCAGTTTATGCCATGTCTAACAAATGCCATTTCACTGCAGATGTCTGCTGCCACTGGATATTACCATCTTTCTACTTCCTCTTCCAGGAGGACCCTCGGACCTTGGAGGGAGGAGTGTGATATGATGTTTTATAGACAATTATATCCAGGAATGCATAACTTCTAAGTTGTACATATACCCATAGCTGGCTAAGCAGGACTACTTCCCACGTATTTCAGATTTTGGCTTATCTTTTGTTTATCAAAATGTAAAATATGTATTCTTGAATCAAAACAGTGCATATACTAAAATTGGAATGATACAGAGAAGATTAGCATGGCCCCTGCGCATTCTGTTAAAAGAACAGCCAAAACCATTACTTGATATTTTTTTATTTGTATTCTTTCATAAAAACTGACAGTATTAACATTAAACAGTGGTGCTCATAAGATAATTATAAAACCTGGATTTGGATGCAGAAGTCAAGAAGGTTGGAAATCAGACCCATGTATAATCTTTTCACACAGGTTATTCAAAAGTTGATGTTCCCAATGGGGTAAATAAGTGCTCTTCGCCGTTAGGAATGGGAGTCAATTGTGACAGCTGGGATGATTGTTATTGCCATTCCCCCCTAATGTTTCTGCTTTGACTCAACTGTGACATCTGTGAATCTTAATGCTTTACTTCTTCAATGTCAACTGAAGGAAAGAACCCACTGTTCATTTATCTTGTAAACAAATCCTGAAAAGCTATGAGGTCCAGGGGAAGTCCTTGGTGACTACAAAGCCTTGGGATCCTCATCTCCATCATATAACTTTGCTGGACAGATGCTAGACAAAAGCCCTTTATTGACTGAGCTACGTCCTCAGCTCTAACGACCAAATATGGGATTTTTGTGGTATGCCATTCAAATCCTTTCCTAAGTGAATCAAAACCTGTTATAGGGCAAGAATTGCTTTGTTGAACTGAATTCTGCAATCAGTTGGATTAATTTTATACCAAATCTTTTTAGACTTCATTTCAACACACATCCAGTTTTTGCTTTCACTCATAGTTATTTAATAGAATTATGCTTTCAAACAAACCTTTCAGTAAGGCTTTATATAAAAGCTTCTCTTCATTTGAAAATTTATTTAACTGATGAAGCTTGACATAGAATTTGTATATGAATATATTTAAAAAACAGTATTATGATGTTCTGTCACATTAGCTAAACAATTGCAGTAAGTTCCTTCCTAAAACTTAAACTTCCTCAGCCATAGCGATATACAAACATATATAATATACCATATATTATATATATGCATCAATATGTATATGTATGTTTATATATATAACTCTCTACATACATGTATCTCCATATATATGTATATATACTTATACACACACAATCTCTCTCTCTCTCTCTCTCTCTCTCTCTCTCTCTCTCTCTCACACACACACACACACACACACACCTTTATCCATTCTTCTGTTGGACTGTTAAGTTGGTTTTGTAAGTAATCTATTGTGAACAGTGCTTGGATAACTGTGCCATGATAACACATGTTAATAGATAACAGATCTATTTTTAGTTCTTTTAGAAACAGCCATGCAACTTTTAAGAGAAAGAGCCCTCCTGGTATCTTCAAAGGAGCCGATGGTCGTGCTGCCAACTGTCTGTAGACAGACCACCTTTAGTAGCTCAGAACCAATTGTAGATCAATGTGAAATTAATCCCTGGCTTCTTGTAATAAGAACTCATGCTCCAGGTGAAACTGCAGCAAGATAACACCTTGACTCAGCTGGCTTTCTCTATAGAGCCACAACCTATTTCTCATGTCATCTGGCATTTGGTCTTTTCCATTTCATAGTGGACAGAGCCTTCTGTATAAAGCAAAAGCCTCTCATTTTGAATCCCCAGCACCTTAACAAAAAGAAAAAGCTACGTGCATCCATGCATATCTGAAACCCAAGGATTATGAATGAGGGGGCAGCGATGCCTTGAGATTTGTGGCCACCTAGGCTAGCTAATTGATTGACTTCGTGTTCAGTGAGAGACATATCTCAAGAAAGTACTTGCTGGAGGCCTTAGACACTATCAAGGTAGCTACATATAGTACTGCTCATTAACATCTGTGCACTGTCTATAAAATATCTGTTTAACAATAAGACACTCTAAATCTTTTTATACTCTAATTGAAAGAACCATGGGACAGCTCTGTTGAAATCAGATATATACTCTGTTGGAATAACCAAGATATAGAGCCAGGAATGAAAAGAGGTATTTGATAAAGATAAAGTGAACAGTTAATTATGATGCAGGAGAATTGTCTGTATTCTGTCAATCATATTTTAATAAAATGCTGATTGGCTAGGCAGGCAGTATAGGCGGGAAAACCAGACAGGAAGTAGAGGTGATACAATGAGAACAGGAGAATTCTGGGAAGCAGGGAGGTTCCTCTGCCATTCCTGTGCAGACCACTGAAGAGGCAGCATGTAACCTGCCCTGCTGAGAAAGGTATGGAGCCATGTGCTAACATAGATAAGGATAATGGGGTAACATAAGTTATAAGAGCTAACAAGTAGTCTGACCTAATGGGTCAATCAGTTTATAACCTTATGGAGTCCTGTGTGTGATTTTCTCTTTGGGATTTTCCTGCTGTGGGGTACCGGGCAGGACAGAAACCCCAACAAGCCAGCCCTCATGCTATAGAATTAGGAATAAATGAATCCCATTTCTACAGGTGACTGACACCAGTGTCCTCAATTGCAAACAAAACAGAAAGCAGAAGGAATTGCAAGGGTTAGAGACAAATCTACAGTAGAATCTAGAGAGTGAATTGTTCCCCTTGGTGGGTGATAGAATGAACAGTTTAAAGCTCACTAGCATTGCTGTCCCCATCATCACACCACCAGCTGACCTAACTGATGCTGACAGGGCAAGACAGCAAGGAAGAAAACCACACCTTTGAACTTCCTTGTAGATTCACTAAGGAACATACTATTCTGGGTTATGAAGCAAGCTACAGTAATCATGATATATAACCAAAGTGAAATTATAAACACAAAATAAAAATGTGTAAGGTATCTGGAAAATAACCTAATGGGTGAAAATTGAGGATCACAGTAGAAGAAGACACCATACAAGAAATTAGAAACTGCTATTACTTAAAGGAACATCTCAAAAAGCACATAAAAGACCAACAGTGCACATGTCTAAAACAAAACCACGTATTTATTTTATACAACAGTGAAGGTTTTGCATAATAAGCCAAACTCTTGCTTTAGGAAATAATTATAAAGTAATAAAATTAAATCTAAAGTAAGTAAAATCATTTTATATTACAAATTAGAAGTGAAATAAAAATTTAACTTTAAGCTATAAACGTTTACAACATACACAATAGATAAACTGTTCATCTCATTATTGGGAGCATATCTCATAAAATTTACACAGTTAACCTGCAAAAGGTAGATATTAGCATTCACATATGAGAAATTCTTAGAAATTAAAACTATACTGGGATATAATTCCTTAGATTTATGATTAATCCATTGCTTACTTATTTTTATCACATATAAAAACGGCAAAGAAGTCACAAACACTTCCAGATACCAGGTGCGTTTGATATCATGTGGATGTGAATATGAAATTAAGACCAATATCTCAGCAGTTTTAGAGATTATTCCTTAACTAGGACTAATTTATTTACAATATCTACCAAGTCCAGAAGAAGACATGAAAATTCACATTTCAAACCAACTTCTCTAGCCACCCCAATGCAGCACTGGCATAACGGGGCATGGGGAAATTCATTAAGACCATAGGAGTACAGAAGACACAGTGTTGGCTAATGAAAACCAAGGATGTATGCAAAAGTGATCGGGAAACCATTCATTTTATAAGTTAAATTATAATGTGAGAAAAGAATATATAATCAGTCATTTTTATTCTCTGATACATTACTTGAGCATTCTAGTTGAGAGAAAAACTGGGTACACTCTTAGAGTCCCATGACACTGCAGTTCTGTCCCCTATCTCGCTATGGGCTGCCAGTTTGCAAGACTGTCCACAGTTCAGAGATATTTTGCAGCCCAGCACTCAGGAATGGACCAAATGTTTAAGATAGTCTAAAGCAAAATAAATACTACCTTGTGTTTATACAACTAAATCAAATTATCAGGACAATATCTAAAGGGAGTTATTCTGACCTTGACCCATACTTTAATAATCGACTGCTCTATGGGACAGTGAAAGTTCAAACATTTAAGCTTAGGCCATGCTCAATTTTTCCTTTTAATTCCGGAACTAATTCTGTTTTACAGGCTTATTCACTCACATGTACTTAAGTATTCAAAATCGTCTGCTCTCTGCACACAAGAAGATGATTCCTCAGACCTTCACTATAGACTAATATACATATGTAAATATTTATAAACATTGGAATGATGAGCCGTAATAGACTTCAACCAACTTAATTTGTGAAATATGACTTCCTTAAAATGAATACATTTTAGTCAGAAGAAGGTGGAATTGCGTTGGCACCTGTACAAGAATTAAAAGACATGCATGTTCAAATAGAAGCATATCCATACTCCTTAAATCTCACAGACAGGTTGAGAAGATCTGTAGACAGAGGCTGTTTGTTCGTTCCCGGCCACCCAGACCTGAAATAATCACGTAGAAACTGTATTATTACAACACTGTTTAGCCTATTAGTTCCTACTTCTTATTGGCTAGCTCTCATATCTTAAATTAACCCATTTCTATTAATCTGTGCATCGCCACGTTGTTGTGGCCTACTGGTAAGATTCTATCCAGCATCTAGCATCTGTTTCCTGCAGTGGCTACATAACTTCTCCCTGACTCTGCCTACTCTCCCTGTATACTTTTTCCAGCCTGGCTATAGTCTGTTAAGCCATTGACCAAAAGCAGCTTCTTTATTAACCAATGGCAATAAAACATATTTACAGCATACAGAGGGGAATCCAACATCACCTACCCTTTTCTGTCTAAACAAAAAGGAAGGCTTAACTTTAACATAGCAAGATTACATCCAACAGAACAGTTAACAAACAAGAATTATAGTTACAATATTTATATCTAGTTTATCTTTTATCACAACTAAGGAAAACTATGTAACTATCCTTCAACTCCATCAAAGACTCCAGAAGGATATATATTTTGTAAGCAAAGAGGAAGTGCATTGTAAGTAACTTCTAAAACTCTAGAATTGATAGAGATATTTTGCTGCCTGGACAGTCATTCAAAGTTCTTCTGTAACATTGGGGCACCGATCTTCAGCCTACAAGCCCATAGTGTCTGGCAGATTTTCCATAAAGGAAATTTCAAAAATGGTTTCACCTATATTGGCAGTATGTCAGTCACTTTCTTCTAGG